CACCTACCTGGGAGACTCAGATGAAGTTCCTGATTCCTGGCTTTGGCCTGGCTCAGCCGTGGCTGTTGGGGCCACTTGGGGAATGGACTAGCAAATGAAAGACTTCTCTGTCTGTCTCTCTCTCTAAAAATCTGACTTTCAAACAAATAAATGATTTTTTAAGAAAAAAGATGGGCCGGCGCCGTGGCTCAATAGGCTAATCCTCCACCTTGCGGCGCCGGCACACCGGGTTCTAGTCCCGGTTAGGGCGCCGGATTCTGTCCCGGTTGCCCCTCTTCCAGGCCAGCTCTCTGCTATGGCCAGGGAGTGCAGTGGAGGATGGCCCAAGTGCTTGGGCCCTGCACCCCATGGGAGACCAGGAAAAGCACCTGGATCCTGGCTCCTGCCATCGGATCAGCGCGGTGCGCCGGCTGCAGCGGCGGCCATTGGAGGGTGAACCAACGGCAAAAGGAAGACCTTTCTCTCTCTGTCTCTCTCTCTCCCACTGTCCACTCTGCCTGTCAAAAAAAAAAAAAAAAAAAAAAAAAAGAAAAAAGATGCTGCTTTGGGCACCCTGATTCCAAACTGGAGTTCTTAGGTTTAAATCTCAACTCTGCTTCCAATTCTAGCTTGGTACTAATGAGTACCTAGATTGATGGCAGCAGGTGATAGCTCAAGTGGCTGAGTCCCTGCCACTCATATAACAGACCTGGGTCAAGTTCCTAGATCCAGGCTTTGGCCAGACCCAGGTCTAGCTGGTAGTGGGCATTTGGAAAGTGAACCAGCAGTTGGAAAATGTCTCTGTGTTTGTCTCTTTCTATCTTTCAATTCATGAATAATGAATTTGTTTACATTCTTTTTATTTTGCCTTTCTTAGAGAAAATCATTATGATTATGATAGAACTTCTTGTTTACTAATTTTTTATTATGTTGTCTCTGAAGTACTTAAATAGTTTATATTCTTTAATTTTTTTCTCATGTGTATCCTCTCCCTCTTGCTTTTTCAAGGTATTCTATTCCTTGTTCTTTCTAACCCATCTTTCTTTTACTTGTTTTGATTTTCTTTCCTAATTCTTCCTGGATTCCTGCAAGCTCATTTTCATACTTCCTATTGTCAAGCTGTATCAATGTTACCCCACATTTTTCCTCAGTATTTTCCTGTCATATGGATTATTACTTCCTAAAGATTGTATTACTTGTTTACTCATGTAAGTTTTTTTTTTTTATCAACTTTCTGGAAAACTTTTCCTGTTGCATGTTTTTCATCTGCAAGTAGATTTTGCCATTGACACAATTTTTCATTTCGAATCCTTGGGTCACTGCTATGCCCCACTGTTTTTTCATTGCATGTGATGGAATGATTTAAATTTCCTGGATCAGCAGTTCTAGGGAGTTACCTAGGCAGGAAATAAGGGGACAAGTTAGGGTAGTGAGCTTTCAGTAAACCATTTGCTAACTACATCCATTACTCTTTTTCTAAAACAGATTTATATGTTTATTTTAATTTATTTGAAAGGCAAAAAGACAGACAGAAACAAAGAAATCTTCCATGGGCTGCTTCATTCTTCAAGTGACCACAGCAGCCAATGTTGAGTCAGTCTGAATCTAGGAGCCTAGATCTTAATCTAGTAATCCCATGTTTCTAGCAGGGACCTATAGACTTGAATTATAATCTGTTGATTATAATCCCAGGATGCACATTCACAGGAAGCTGGAACTTTCATATGAGATGCAGGATTTCCATGTCCTATCTTAATTGCAGCAAATGCCCACCCTCCCCAGTTCCTCTAGATTCTTTGATGGTCCAAGGGCTTTGGCCCCTGCCCACCACTTGGGAAACCCAGCTAGAGTTCTCCTTATTATTTATTATTTATTTTTATTTACTTATAAGGCAAAGTTACAGAGAGAGAGGTCTTCCATGCACTGGTTCACTCCCCAGATGGCCGCAATGGCCAGAGCTAGGCCAGACTGAAGCCAGGAGCTTCTGCTGGGTCTTCCATGTGGGTGCAGGAACCCAAACGCTTGGGCCATCCTCTGCTGCCTTTCCCAGATCATTAGCAGGGAGCTGGATTGGAAGTGGAACAGCCAGACTCAAACTGGCACCCATATTTGATGTCAGCACTGTAGGTAGCAGCTTAACCCTCTACACCACAATGCTGCCCCTCTTCTTGATTCTTTATATATGGACATGCCTCTTCCCTTTTTCTGCACTAAGTTGTACCCAAAAGCCACTCTAAAAATTATCTACTTACCCCTGTTCTACACACCAACGGTAGTATCAAAGGTGTAGCTTTTGAAATCAATTTGAACACCTTGTTTTCACTTCAGAAAGTATATTTTTGCTAGAATTTCCTTAGGTATCCTATTATTTGAGCCTTTGGAATTCTTCTCTGAATTTTTTCTTTAATTCTTTGAATGTTGCTTCTATGTAGTTTTAACACTATAGAGGAAAAACAGAGAGGTATTAGCTTTTGAGGATTAATGGTTTGAAATGAAAGATGTTACAAGTAACACTTGAAATGTATATTGGGCTGATGTACTATGGAATTTAACTTTGAAGTTAATGGGAGGAATTTAATGTTTTGAAGTGATGAACCAAAGTGATTAATCATTTCATATAATTAATCAGACTTTTTTGAGTAATTCATACAAAAGTATATTTGCAAAATGTATAAAATGAGTTTGAAATTATATTTGGGCTAATGAATAGGAGCTTAAATTATAATGAGAACTTTTTTATCATGTCCAAATAGTACATATAGTTTGGAAAGTTCTGGAAAACACAGATATGAATGAAGTATAAATTAAAAATGTTAACATTTTGTCCATAGTTCTTTTATAAATGTATACATATTTTTCTAAAACTGGGAACACACTCTGAACTTTGTAATTTCATTTTATGTTTTAGCATTTATTCTTTTATACAGGATTTTTAAAATGGCTGTATAGATCCTATCATATGCAAGTAGAGTAATTGATCAATGCTCTAACACAAGATTACATGTAGCTTCAATGGTGTAAAAACTGTTGTGCTAGTTGCCCTAATGTACAAATCTTAATGCACACCAAATAGGCTTTGGATAAATTGGAATGGGTAAAATTCTGGGACAGAAAAGTATGCACATTTTCCACATGTCTTCTCAAGCTGTCATCCAGAAAAGTTTTTCATCTTTAGATAAAGGATCATTTTCTTTTACTTTGAATTCATGATTGAAAATAGATTTTATAATTTTTAAATTACTTACCAATTTGTTTTGTGTTGTTAATATAATCTCTTTATTTCATTATTTTATTTATAGTGACATAAAAGGATTTTTGTGTTCCTTTTGATTTTTGTTTACAGACACTTAATGTTTCTTTTTTATAAGTTGCCTGTCCAGTTCTACGGTTGTGGAGCGTTTTGATGCACTGTCCATTTTCTGTGAAAATGTCAAGTATCACTCTTTCCTCATCTTTGATTTGTGTTATAATTTATTATCCGATAAGAAGATGCTACACTTGATCTCAGCCAAAAGGCCAAGAAGCAATGATAATATTTTCAATAGAGAATTTTTAATGTGAATCTATTGACTACATTTATATTTTTCTTCTGTTTTTATACTTAGAAAAAATTTCTCATTTTAAAATTATATAAATACATAAATATATTTTATTCATTTTTGCATTGTTGTGATATCACAATTATGTTCCATTTTTCTTACTCATTTCTTTCATCTTTTGCATATTCATTTAATGCAATTTGTTATATACCATACTTTCAAATCTTAAAAATATCAATATAGACTATACTTTTATTTAAAAATGTATTATTTCATCTATATAACTTTTTAAAGATTTATTTACTTGCTAGAACTACAGAGACAAAGGGAAAGAGAGAGAGAGTGAGCAAGCAAGAGTGCCCTTCTACCTGTTGGTTCATTCCCCTAAGGGCTGGAGCTTCTTCCAGGTCTCCATGTGGGTAGCAGGGGACCAAGCTCTTGGGCCATCTTCTGCTACCTTTTCAGGCACATTAGCAAGGAGCTGGATTAGTAGTGGAATAGCTGGGACACAAACCCATGGCCATATATGATGCTGGCATTGCAAGCAGTGACTTTACCTGCTGTGCCAAAATGCCAGGCCTCAGCTATACGCTTTTTGTAAAATTAAAATAATTTTGCCAAGTAAAGAAAAAAGTGCCTTGAGTTTTTATTTTGACTGCTCTAAAGCTAACTATTTAATCAGAATTGATTATCAGGAAAATCACATTTATCTTTCTCTAAACCATTTTGTATTTTATAAAATTAATCTGCATTCATTTGTGATTGTGATTTTTTCCTGTATATTTTGTATTTTGTGTTGGGTTAGCATTTTTATTAAGATAAAATAACTTATTTATGAAATATTTGAAAAATTTTAAACAATTAGGATTTAGGGGTACCATTTCTCTTTAGAATTTTTATTGTGAAAACATTAATATTTTGAACTCTTAATTTAAAATTTAGAAAACATTGATTTTATTTTATTCATTAAGAAAAAGATAATGTGAATAAATTATAATTCTCAACAATGTTACATATATTAATTGCTTTATGATACTACATGTATCTGCTTATGTATTTGACAAATCCTAAGTACAGGATGGGAGTTTGGCGCAGGGGTTACAATGCCACTTGGAACATTCATCTTACATCATCTTAAGTCCTATATACCTGGCATTTCTCAGCTTCTCCACTTCTGCTCCAGAATTCTATTAATGAGCACCTTGGGAAGAAGCAGATTATCGCCTGAGTAATCGGATCCCTGCCATCTCTGTGGGAGACAAATATTTAGTTCTGACCTCCTGGCTTCCCTCTGGCCCAACCCTGAATGTCTTGGACACTTAGGGAATGAACCAGATTGTAGAAGATATCTGCCTTTTATACAAATGAAAATAATTTAAAAAAAAAATCACAAATAGTGTTAATGTGCACGTCCCAGACTCCAAAATTAATTGTAGTTACTTTTTTAAACAAAAATAATTAATGTTGCTATTTATCTTTTAGACTAGTGGGGTGGTTCGGCCATGAACTCAGCACCAGATTTGAAATGGATAACAGTAAGTATATTCAAATGTACTTCATAAGTCTATTTACTTTTGAGTTATTTCAATTTTCATCTGTCCTTGTGTTATATGTAATATACATGCCCCATGGAGATTACACTTTGGAAATGTCACTGAAAACTCTTAAAATAAGAAATGACATTTCCAGCATGTAAGACAAGTGTTTATAGATTTTAGCATGATTCTGGTCTATCCCTTTGTAGGGAGATAAAAGGAAATGAAATCTAATGTACAGCCTGTGTGGCTTGGTCAGAGCCCCTCAACATGGAGGGCCCTAAGCATCAGACAGTGAGGCCTGGGGAATTTGGTGCTTGAGGTTTGACCCAGAGAGACATAGGTCAGACCTTTCTGGTGCTTAATTGTTTTATGATCTGGTACAAGCTATCTTATCTTGGCTCATTATTTTTCTTTCTCACATTTCTTATATGAATGATATTAGTTCAGGGTTTGTTTTAATAGTAAGCCAAGTTCAAAACTGTATAGCCAGTAGCATGTAGCAGTGCTTTGATGTTTATTCCTTTTTTTTTTTTTTTTTTTTTGCCTAAATACCCTCTTTTGTGGCTTTTGCCACATACCTGAGTGGCAGTTAAACCTGTGAGCCGTTAAACCCAAGTGGGTGGAAACGAAACCATCCCATGGATTGAGCTCACATGCTGTCCTACTTCTTCTTCCCAAACAACCCTACTCAGTCACACAGGGTACAGAAAGCAGCCTCAGTGTTTTGAAAGCTCATTATACTCTTGATCCTTCAGGTTGCTTCCAACCTAAGATATTTTATGTACATCTGAATTTGCAAATACCAAGTTACAAAGGACCAAGAGGGATTATTCTAATCAGGAAACTTGTCTTTTATTTTGGCTGCTACAGTAATTATCTTTGAAATTATGCCAATTATTTAAATTCTTTCAGCAGAGTTTTCTTCTCTGTAAATAAACAAATTAAATCAGAAATAGAAAACTTAGGATGTTGATATAAATTGTTTTAAAAAAGATTAATGAATTTGACAGAATTAGAAAGAGAGACAGATCTTCTACTCTGCTGGGGGCAAATATTGGGCTCTGTCATTGTTGTGCTTACGCAGCCATAAAGGTGCAAACATGAATTAACTTTGACCATGTTCCATCTAAACCTTATTTTAAAAAACAGATAGATCTACTTTGATCTGTATGCCTCAGCATGACTGGATCAGATGACCATCTAAAGACCCATGATTCTTTCCATCAGTTGTAGTTTTAACTTGATCTCAAACCTGTCTTACCAATTTAGGCCTCTTGGATTTAACTTGCTCTAATTCAATCCAGCTAATGCCTTTCAGAATAATGGCTGCTACCAACTTACCTTTTTATTAAGTCATATCTTAAATCTTTTTTTAAAAAAATATTAGCATACCCATGCCCTGTTTTTCCCAAGAGAAGTCTATTGCCCTAATAGCCCTAGTACTGAAAATCACCTTCCTGGATCACTCCACTTTGGGATAACCTTACAATTCTGTGTCATGCAAATCATTCTGTCTCATTGACATTGTTTCATAACAGAAAAGCCAATTCCAGGGCAGCTCGAGGAATGTTAGCTTGGGAACAGGAAGGAAGAGGGAGGGGTTCTGGAAAACTTCTAGAAATGGCCATTTTTATTTTGTGTCTAAGGCTTCTAATATTCAGTAGCCTGCCAGGAAGGTAGTGAGGTGAAATATTCTAGTATTTTAGCTTCATCAAATGTCTTTTAATTATTTCAGAAATCCCATGTAGGAATTTTTAAAAAGTTTTAAATTCTTGCTCTACTATTTTTACTGTATTTATACATATGAAAACATTCTACAAAAGTGACATGATATTAATTTTTCAGAACTTCAGTTAATCCCTGGAGTCACTGGATTCCGAATTTCTAACCCTCCCATTCTGTTGGTCTGTTCCTTGCATGCTAGTTTAGAGGTGAGTGATTGACACTTCAGCCTTCCTACACCCTTCACCTGACAAGTTGTACTTCCTCTGCTGGCTGGAAGATTTAAATATTCATTGTGCATGAACAGTGGACAAAAGGCAGCACTCCTGCTCAAGCCAGTGATCAGTGGTAACTGTCACATTCATTTCTTAGTTTCAGTTCCTAACACACTACTTGTGGCACATTGTTGGCACACGGTAAATATTGAAGGGAATTGATCTGGAGACACAAGTGTTTTGTTCCCTTGGGATCTGTGTGGACCCAAGTAAGTTGTTTCACCTTTTCTTGATCTCTCTATAAATAAAATAAGCATGTCATATGTAGTTCTTCAGTAATTTACTTACTCAACATGTACCTAGTGAGAAAATATTGTATCTCATACATTGTTGTGATTCCTGGGGCCTTTCTTCCAGTGCTGTGTGTCCATGAACTGACAAAATACCATGTGGCAAAGCTATAGGTAGACTTACTTCAAGGCATCATCAGGGTAAACCAAAGACTGAGTTAAGTTGCCTCATGAGACAGGGTTTTTTCTTTTTTCGTTTTTGTACTATGGCTTCTTTTCTGCTGTTATTTCCACATAGAATCTCTACTACTATTCACTCAATATTTCCCTTTAGATCACTCATATTTTTACTTAGATTTATACTCACCTGAAGTTAATATCCATGTAATGAATTAGGATGGTTATATACACGTGCACCCATATATAGAGTTATAAATAAAAACAAATAGATACTCATATTTAGCAAAGCAAACTATGATTCTCTAAAGACTATTATTTAGGGTTAAATTCACTCAAGTAAATACTATTAATAATTATATATTATTTGATTGATTATACTGATACATTTATTAAACATATTTTATATACATATTAGTAAAATATGTTTTGAATAAATATATTCTAACAAAAGTTTTAAATATGTGGCTATTTAAAATAGGAGGTTGAATCTTTTCCTTAATGCCTCCTAAAATCAACTACTTTATTGTATTTTAGGAAATCTTTTTATTATGGATATCAATATCAAGTGAGTGTCTCTATAAAAACTTCCAAATCTCTTCAAAATCTAAATTCTAGAATTTTATAATTTTGTGAACATATAAAGCAGTTTCTCATTCTGTCCACTGGATGGCAGTGTCAAGTTCCTCTATTTCTGTGCATCTTCTTGCTGTATGGTGGTAATCATTTCATTTCATCCCAGTTTAAAGATGACTTACTCAGGTTGACCACTAGATGGAGCGTGTGCTGTTTTTACTTTTTGACAGATTTTTGACACCCAGTAACAATCAGTAAGACATTTTCTGGAAGTTTTTATTTTTATTTTTTAAACATTCCTTAGTAAATTTGAAAATGCTATTTGAGTTGCTTTTATAACATCCACTCATAGAAACAGTCTGTTTGAACGTCATAAACCAAGAGAAAGTTTTGGCTAACTTTGCATAATAATACCAGGGCAAAGATGCGTTAGAACATAAAAGGCACCAGGACATATCTCAGGAAGAACTGGTACTTACAGCTATTTCCTCTTATTTTCCTTATCTTTGCAGACACTCATTTCTTTATGCTTTCTGCAGTGGCCTAGCACTATTTACCTCCTCTGCTAAGGAACGGAGGAAGATCCTTATTTTTCTTGCCAGTATTAGCCTACACTACTGCATTAGAGTCACTTCTATAAGGTTTTAATCTCAAAATCTGAGGAAAGACTTATTTTTTCCCTTTTGATAGCTAAACTTAAATCTAACAAAATGAATCTAAAAGCTCCCAAATGAAGAATCTATACATCTGGAGCTCCTTATCACATAAATACTACTATAGCACCACCTGTCATTTACTGCTGAGGCTGTGGACAGAACAAGTTTGTATTCTGTTAACCAAGTCTTATGTTGGTGGAAATGTTTAAAATTTATCCTTCTGATTATAAATTAAACCTTTTTTTCTAATTTCAAAGCAGTACCTTTGTTTCCCATTCTTATAAAATTTCCAACTTTCTTAGACATTTTAGAATTTGTCAGGTGAGTAAGCCTAAGGTGAATTCACCACATTAGTATTTAGCTTGTGTGTTTCCAACTGTTACTGTATGGTTGGAAATAGGTGGTTGAAATCTGAGTAAAAGAAATAAATGCCTGAATCCAGCTGCCTCCTTTTGAAAAATATTCAACTGGGGGAGAGAGCCTACACTTGGGAATCAGTTGTACATGAGTATGACCTCAGATTTTCAGCACAGTGATATTTTGAAAGATATTAATATGACTACAATCATGGATGCATATAATAGATTGGGACTATTAAAACAGTACCTTACAATCAGGTTCAAATTATCTTTTTCTGTATATTCTTGGACATTAATAATTACACAGTAATTTAAAAATCATATGAATCACTGAAAGGAGCACTGGGCTGAGACCCAGGCTGGCATCCAGGCTTGGGAGCCTTCCTTGGACATGAAGTGTGACCTTACACAAGCAGCAACTGTGCCTCAGTTTGAAAATGATGTTTTGATCAGATAACCTCATAACTTCCCCTAGTCTTCCCATTACGTGTGTGACATGTTCATTATTTTGCAGGTTAATATTTGTGTAAAACAATAAATAGATCATTTTTAGATCTTTTCAGCATATGAATTTATAATGAAATAAGTCACTTTAAAATACAAAGTTAGACCATTCAATTAAAATATATGGCAAGTCCAAAGACTCAGAAGAAACACACTATGTGTTTCATAACAAAGTTATTCAGGAGCCAATGCTAAGAATTTAAAAGAAAAATGTGGAAAGTAGCATACTATACTTAGAAAAGATAGCCCAACTGGTTGAAAGCTTGCCAAGAATTCTGTTATAAGTTAAATACTTACCAAACTACATTTCCTACTTTTTGCTAATTTAAAAAATATTATTGTATATAATAGAAGCATAGAAATAAAGAGAAGCAAAAACTGAGGATATTTATTCTATTTCTGTTAACCCTTATTAGTCCCTCTAAATATGCTTACACGAGGTCTTATTATAGATTTTTATAATCTGTGAGAAATATTTAAAAGTGACAGGGAATGCAATTGCCCTTCTTGTGAGCTGTAATGTGGAAACTAGTTTGATTTTTAAACTTATTTTCTTATTAAAGAGTAACAACATTCCACAGTATATTAAAATTGAGGCCATTTGTTATAAAATATTGGTTTCTAGCTATCAAGGGACTTTTCTAAGAATGAAATCCCATAGTCCCCTTTAAAACACCATCAACTTAATATTCCCCCAAAGTCTTACTCCCTTATTAATACAAATGAACTATCATTAAAAGTAATACTGTGAACATTGCCCCTACCTGAATACAATGACATTCACAGCACAGCTAGAAAATTCTGTAGCTTTATTAGAGTTTCCTCAAATATTTTTGATCTCTAGAGAGAATCTCGCACACCTCAGAGCCTAACCACATGTAGGTTGTGCCTTGCCTGTCCTTGCTCCTGCCCTCTACCAAATTGTTGATTCTTTGCCCTTAATGCCCTTGATCTAAAACTTGGCTGTGTTTCCTTGAGTCCTCATTGTGTGCAGTCCACTCACTTTAGTTTTGTATAAGGCACCAAAGAGATGCCTCCTACCAAAATCCACGCCACGCAGGTCACCTGAGACCTGGAGTGGTATTGTCGGCACTGAGATCCCATGCGTCATCAGAAAACAACGTTGAAAGTTTCAACTTGCAGCTCATACCACTGCAGGCTTCAATGTAGTCTGCTGGTGGCACTAAAAAGAGACAGCTGCCGACCTATCCTCTGTGTTTCTCCTCTGTTCCTTAGAGGTCATTACCTTCAATACCTCTTCCCTCCTCTCTTCCACCCAAATCCATGCCTCCATGCATGAATGCTTGAGTCTTGTTAGAATGCCTGCCACAGATGTCACCTATAACATACAAAAATATCTATCTTCATATTTGATGAAGTCTAGACACCACCAAGTGACCCTATTTTTACTCTTGATAACTTTATTCATGATACAGAAAAGGGACATTGAATGACACTCCCATGTATCATGCTCTGTTTTTGCAGTTCGTTTGGCTCTGATGTGTAGGATATATTTTTAAACTCTACTTGACCTTAAGAGATAAGCCAGAAAATCATGTCTGTTCTGATCCCTAATGTTACAGTACCAGTTACTGTATGTCCTTGTCATTCTGTTAATACTAGACTAGGCAGCAAGTGGCAATAATTTCATACTAGTGCTGGAGTTTAGCAGGGGAATAAAAGATAGAAATGTGTGTGCATGTGTGTGAGAGAGAGAGAGAAAAAGAGAAAGGTAACCCAAATGCTTAAATTATGATAAAAGCATTTTCAGATATTTGCTAAGAAAACTTACCTTTATTGTTTACTTACTTGTGTGTTTACTGTTATACTAGGGGAGATTTAGAAATCAGTAAGACAATTATCAATAATATGAGCAAATAGTACATTCCACGTATGTCCATGTGTTTAGCTCATATTGTGCATTTTGTGGGCCAAACAAAATTTCTTTCAGAATAGAAAAAATCTTCTTGATTATTATTTTAAAAAATTGTTTTGGGAGAAAATTTTAAGTTCTATGAAATTTACATACATTTATTCAGATATACTTTGGTGATTAAGCTAATTTCAAATAACTGAAAGAAAAGGATATTCTTTTCTTCTTTTGCAATCACTGTTTAAATGATATGTATACACCTTTTCTGTCATGGAAATTTCGTCTTCAATTTTTAATGGCAAGGCCTTTCAAAGAGAGCATGTTTTTATAAAAAAAAAAGTAACTAAAATGTAATGTTTATTGGAAAGATCAAAAATTAGTATTTCTTTTTTTGGATGTGATTTACACTTAATTTTTGCTTCTTTGTAAATCAATGACTGTCATTTTGAATCTCCTGTAGATCTTTAAGAAAGCCACTATGAAAGCATTAAGGAGAAAATCCATTTTGCTTACTGGTTACCTGGAGTATATGATCAAGCAGTACTACCACAAAGACAAAGCAGAAACCAACGAATCAATTGTGAACATAATTACTCCATCCCGAATAGAGGACCGTGGCTGCCAGTTAACACTAACATTCACTGTTCCAAAGAAAAATGTTTTCCAAGAACTAGAGAAAAGAGGAGTAGTTGTAAGTATATCTCTTGCTTGGCTTCCAGATATTCTCTGTAAACTGCATTATTTGAACAAAAGTTGGATTCCTTGGTTTATGCATTTTTGTATGCCATTTCATATTAATCAACCATTTATGACAAATTAAGTGACAGCTAACCATTCAGCACTGTATTATCTGAAAGGCATAGAGAATTGTCACTTCTGATAAAACAGAAGAAACCACAAATTTCAGCTATAAGCAATATTTTATATAACTTATTCTTTTTATAATTGTTTTGGGTAAAAAAACTATCAAAGTCAATTAGGACATGATTTCACTAGTTTTAATTACTGAAGACTACTATATGTAATTATTAAATTACACAGCATAACAATTTAGTGTGGGGGTGGAAGAAATCAGTGTTAGTTGTTTGCTTGAAATAATTTATTTTCACTCTTGTCACTTTCGTCAAAAAAGTTAGTATCTGAAGATATACTTCAGAATTGGTAGTTTTTTCAAAATATTTGAGCCTTTTATTATTAATAATTGTACATACTTATGGGATACAGTGTGATATTTGGACACATTTGTGCTTATTAAGCCAGGGTAATTCATGTTTTCTCCTTTTGTCATGACTTTATGATTGGAGCCTTGTCCCTCCTCTCTTCCACTTGTCTGCAAATATATGATAGGTTATTGTGAACTAAAGTCACCACAGTGCTCTGTAACCACTAAAAACTCATTATTTATAGCCAAGAGGGGTTTGGTATTTGTTCTAAACTTCCTTTGTCCCCTCCTACCTCCCAGTTTCTAGTACTCCTATTCTACGTTAAGATAGATTGTTTTAGCTTCCATATACGAGGGAAAGCACTGTGATCCACCTTCCGGCTTCTGCACACTCCGAGAGGCAGCTGGTGATGAGTCAAGGATTTGGGCCTGAGCTACACATGAGGTAGACCCAGATGGAGTTCTAATTCCTGGCTTTGGCTTGGCCCAGTCCCCACTGTTGCAGCCATTTGCAGAGTGAATTAGTGTATGAAAGCTTGCTTGCTCTGCCTCTCTCTCTCACTCACTCAATCTTGTTATTCCTTTAAAAAAATACAAAGAGGCAAACATTAAAAAATCATTTCTGGTGGGATGGATCTGGTAGTGATGATGAATTCCCTCTGTTTTTGTTTCTCTGGGAAAACTTCATTTCTCATTCATTTCTAAAGGATAGCTTAGATGGCTAGATGGCTACAGTATTCTTAGTTGGCAGTTGTTTTTATTTCAAGACCTTACATATATCATGCCATTTTATTCAGGCCTACAGCTTTTTGCTGAAAAATATGTTAGTCAAGTGAGTTGTCCTTTATGTGACACCTCACAGTTTTCCCTGTTTGGACTCTCCTTTTGTGTGACTTGTTTGGTCTGATGTACGCTGGAGAAGATATTTGTTAGTAGAGTCTGTTCAGGGTCCTTTGACATTCCTTGATCTGGATGTCCATCTCTCCTTCATTGCTGCAGATTTTTTTCAGTTATTTCATTAAAAGGCATTTCAATTACTCTTCCTCCTCTTTTCCTTCAGTTGGCTTGCACAACAGGACCCCATATGTCTCATATGCTTTCTTCATTCTTTAATCCTGTTCTAAATATTTTGTCTGAGTTATTTGAAAGGACTTGTACTCAGATTCAGGAATTCTCCTGCTTGGTCTATCCTGTTGTTGAAGCTCACAATGGTATTTTTTATTTCATTGAACTGTTTGGCTCCAAGATTTCAGATTGATTTTCATTCATATCATGTATTGTTTTTCTCATTTTAACTGTATTTTTATTCTCTTACATCTCGGAATTTCATTAGGGTGATTACTTTTAATTCTGTTGTAGGGGTTTCATATTTTTCAGATCAGAATTGGTTTCTGAAGTAGTATTGAGTTGCTTTGGAGGTCTCATACTTCCTTGCTTTTTCAAATTTCTAATGTCCCTCCACTGATGTTTACATATCTGTTGTAAAAGTTGTTTCTTCTTTAAAGAATAGCTTTCTACAGCAAAGACGTTTTGTTTGGTGAAATGTCAGTTGTGTAGTATCTGACTTCTTCAGCTGTAGTCAAGGCTAGTAGTGTCTATGAGTGCCACAACTGTCAACACTGCAGCAGTACATAGAAGTAGTGATATTGACTTTGCGGTGGACAGCAACTTCCAAATATGGATGTTCTCAGGCTGTAAATAATTATGTCCACTCACACTAGAGTTTGTGATGGCAGTAGCCATGTTCCTGATGCTATAGGATACAGGTGGTACTGTTCCCAGGTCCTGTCAGGTGAGCATGGGTGATATCAGTTTATGTGGCACCATTACTCATGGTCCTGAAATTATTGGATGTGGATGGGACCTTTCTAAGGTCCTTGTGGGTGAGAATGGATGACACTAGTGTTTGTAGCACCAAAAGCCACAAGCAAAATGCTGGGCTGGGAATTGTGCAGTGAAGTCCATGGGCCTGGAGCAGCGTAATGCAGATAAGACCTTCCTCAGCTGCCACAATGTGATCACAGGTGTCTCTGGGGCTTATAGAACTGTCACAGTCTAAGAGCTATAAGATATCGTAGGTACCTTACCAAACTTCTCATGGGGTATGTACAAGTTTTGCTGAGAGTTATGCACCAGTAGCTGCAGTCCTGGAACTGTAGGATCCAGAGAGGACCTTCCCTGAATCCCATGAGGTAAATGTAGGTGAACCCAGAAATTATAGCCATGGCAGTCATACTCCTAGAGTTGTATGATGCAGTGGAGACTTTGCCTAGGTCCCATGGAGTGAGTATGGGTAAGGCTGGGTCTTAGAACTAACAGATATAGCCTTGTAGATACAAGATGCAGGAGGAATCATCCCCAGGTCCTACAGGGCAAACAAAGGTGACACTGGGACTTATGATCCAGGGCTCTTGATGACCTGAGTACAAGATATGGAAGGGGTTTCCTCAGGTACCACAAGTGCATATGTACCAGCTTCTATGTGTGCTTAGACTTAAGATAAGGAAGGTAACTTAGCCAGATACTATGGAGCTGGCAAGCATATTTCTAGGGCTTTTGCACAGTGAAAGGGTCAGAAATAGGCCCCTCTGCATCCTGTGAGATGTGGTATTTTCAGGGGCTTCCTGCGGCAGTAGGAGCTATCTATCTACTGATCCCTAAGACAGAATGGAGTCTAGCAGTGGCTGTGATGCAGTTACATAGATTCTGGAGCTTGACAGAGACAAAGTGATCTTTGCTTGTTGAGTTGTATGTGAGTGAAAGAGACCCTCGTCAGCTTTCCAGATGTTTAAAGCCTGAGAGGACTGTGCAAGTCTCCTGTTGTTCAAGCTGCTGGCCTATAGTGCTAACAGAGGTCAATGTGCTTTTCTGTTTTCCTTTTCATGGCAATGTGGTGTCCCTCCAGCCAGGGAGCCATGGAGAAGTTGCAGTGCACTTGGTTTCTCCCTGTGTGTTGAATTCTGAGTCTCTGTGCCAGTTAGAGTTGCTGTCCCTCCTTTCCTGAAGTTCTCTCCAGTCCGTCTCCTTGTTATCCAGTTTCTTCTCAGTGACAGAGGTGATGCAAGACACTTCTATTCAGCCCTCTTGGAAGTTAGTTCCCTACCACTGATATGGGAGATCTGGACCGAATTTCAGTCTCCCAGTATTGGTGTCCACCTCAGAGTTGTTGTTGGCATTTAGGTAGTGAAGCAGCATATAGAAGTTGTCCTCTCTGTCTGCCGTCCTCTTAAATAAATAAATGTTAGGAATGGGTGTTTGTGGCCACAGTTACTTTGCCACTTGGAATACCCACAGCCTGTTGGAGTGCCTGATGGAATTTCCAGCTGCTCTACTTCTGGTTCAGATTCCAGATAATGGGCACCTGGTAGACCACAGATAATGGCTAATCTACCTGGATCCCTGCCACTCAAGTGGAAGACCCAGACTGAGTTCTGGGCTCCTAGATTCAGGCTAGCCTATGCCTGGATATTGAAGGCATTTGGGAAGTACACCTGTGGATAGAAGATCCCTGTCTGTCTGATTTCAAATTAAATCATAAATATGTTCAAATTAAACATATAAACCATTACCATGTTTTTCAGCTAATAGCAGATATCTCTTAAGTTAAAAGTAGTGATTTATCATCACTACTGGAGACATCATCTAGGCTTGCTTTGAAAACTACCAGCATTCCCAGAGACATAGCCAACTCCTTAGCTGGAAGATAAAGAATTAGATGATGAAATTTAAGGATAATTTTCTAAAACTCTCCAAATCTCAATGAAATTCTCATTCAAATACATTTTTCCAAGAGTTCCAGTCCCTCCACAATTTCCTCATAAAAAATATATATTAGCAAAGCTACATTGTGGCTTAGCAGGTACAGCCGCCACCTGGGACACTGGCATCCCCTTTCAGCACCAGTTGATGCTTCCACTTCTAATCCAGCTCCCTGCTAATGGAATGGGAAAAGCAGTGGAAGATTGCCCATGTGTTTGGGCCCCTGCCTTCCATGTGGGAGACCCCGATAAAGCTCTTGTTTCCTGACATTTGTGGAGTGAATCAGCAGATGGAAGATCTCTCTCTCTCTCTTTCCTTCTTTAACTCTGAATTTCAAATAAATAAATCCTTTTATTAAAAAAAGGTATATGAAGAATATTCCCAAAGTTCATGGAAAATAATTATGAAATAATTATGAATGGATTTCAAAAATAATTTAACAAAGTAAACATCTTTCAATGTCATTTTACCATGAACATTTTGAAGAATATACATGCCTATGACCTAATGGATACTTAAAAATATAACTGCAAAGTAAACTTTACAAAAGTACTTTGAATATTTAGGTACTAATCCTTTGTTATTTTTATTAAGGAGTTTCAGATTTTTACTTAAAGTAGGAAAAATATCTATATATTTTGAGGAAAATCAGCATGGATGCTTTGTTTAAGTTTGTCTTGAATGGGGATTTCCAGTTTATGAATAATACTAACATTATCGTGGCTTTACTTTTTCCCTACAGTGTGACAAACGAGAACCAAATGGCATTC